CATCATTATACAAAATACATATATGATGATGTGGGGGGGGGAAGAAATGTGTCACATTAGATTGGGTAAAGAGAAGTGATGGGAGGGGAGGGGAAGGCAAGAGGGGATAGGAAGGGCAGAATAAAATAGACACTAGTATTGCTATATGTATACCCATGTCTGTATAACCAATGTGATTCTGCAACCTGTACACTCAGAAAAATGAGAAATTATACCCCATTTGATTCAAATGTATGATATGTCAAGATCATTGTACTGTCATGTGTAACTAATAAAAAATAATATAATTTTTTTTAAGGGTTGGGGATGTGGCTCAGTGGTTAAGCACCCCTGGGATCAATCCCTGGTACCCTCAGTTTCTGGATGAACATAGTCAACTCTGGAGAAATATGAAAGGGCTGACCCTGGATAGAAAATGTGGCCCTAACAAAGAAGGGAGCCCCAAGGTGAAACTTGTGCAGAGGCCTAGAAAGGTGAAGACAGAGGGATTTGGGGATGGGGTTGGAAGGATACAAATCTCTTAAATCATGCGCACATCTGAACGTAGATGAAGTAGGTGGGGATTAGTTTATGAAATTTAAGGAGAATCAGCTGGGTAGCAGTGGTTATGTGGTTAAGACTTTTCTAGAATCTCTCCTTTGTTCCCCACTGTCACCAAATCCACTTTTCAGATTAACCCTCCAAAGCTCAGCTTGAGGAGGCCTTCCCACAGGAGGACTTGCCCAGGGACTAACTCTGCTCTGCCACAAGGCCCATCTCCAGGTAGTCAGGATACTCCAGGTGTGATACCATTTGCCACAGGTATACATTCTCCCCTTGTTCCTTAGAAGACCACCAAGTATGCACATGGCCTCCCAAACACAGACCACATACACTCCAGCTTCCCTGGCCATACACTTCATTCTAGTCAACAGGAAGTATGTTCCCAACTTGCAGCAAACCATACTAGGCAGCTGGCATGCCACTTCTCCCTTTTCCTCTCTTTCTGCTGGTATGGAAAATACAAGTGGTAGCTGGAAGTCAAACCTCTATTTCTGTCCCTAAGGTAAACCACAATAGCAATACAGACACTGGGGTCCCAGAGGTGGACCTCTTGACTTACCATTGGATTCCTATGCCAGAAAAGGACAGAAAAAAAAAAAMAACTCATTAAACCACTGCTTCCTCATGATGAAGTGATGGACAGTGGTGACATCATGAAGAGACTTCTGCACCCTTCAAACATCTGCATTCTTTTTTTGTATGACATTTTAGGCCAACTATAATAGGTAAAAATTTGGCCCAAATAATCCTAGAAAGATTTTAAAGCAACTCATAACCCCTGGGAATAGGTTTTGAACAGTGTATTTGATCACTTTAAAAAAATTTTAATGCTACTTCAACACATGGCTCTAACACCAAAAAAAGGGTGAGTTCAAAATTAGTACATCACCATATCCCATTTCTTCATTCTTGAGAACACAAAGAAAAATTCCAACTTATAAAGGAAAACACACTGCATTTAGTTAAACCCTAAAACCTTTCTCAGGTAAAGTGCAGTCAGGCGCATCTGTCCACCAGTTTAGGAGTGTCTTGTGTTAAAACTTTTAAAATGTTACTTGAATTATGACAATACAAAGTTTAAATTCTAAGTAAGCCCAACTATCACGGAGTCCTTGAACTTCAGGAAATGCAGATGGCTCAATAATCTTCAAACTGATAATCCCAAGATTTATACAGGTCGTCCATGACTGCAGAACCATCACTGCTCAGCTGCACCGAGTCTGCGATGAGTGATCTCATCCTCTCCTCAGTCACACGTAAGCGGTGCACTTTGGGATAAGCAAGGAGTCTTTGCAGGGGTACAAAAAACTTATCTCCTTCACAGAAGGGTTTTGGAGAATTCTCTATCCTGGCTTCTTCAGCCTCTGTGAAGACTGCTCCCAACACTACTTGGGGCGGACCAGAAGAGTCAGTGTTGTCTGGGTCACTGCACAAGTCCTTCTGTTCTCGCAGCATTCGCTGCTGTCTCAATCTCAGCCGTT